GTTTCCTTCATTGCCAGTTAAATAAACAAACAAAAACTTCCTGTGATAATGTTTATTCTCACTGCAATAGGTTGAATCAGTCAGACTTGTCACTGAACCCTCTATCTTTGGCCTCTAGGGATCATGTGTTTATAGTTCAAGGAATTCACCTGAGTCTTGCCTTTAAGAAATAGTCCAGTTATCTGGGCTTGTTCAGGTGAATAAAGTGTCCATAGTAGTAATAGTAGGAGTAACAGTAATAATAATAGAAGCTAACACTAATAGTATTATAGGAGTGTCTCATTTAATCCTCCTACGAGACAGATGAACTCCATTGTCCATATATTACAGCCGAGCTAACCGATGCCCAGAAAGGTTAAGTAACACGCCAGGGGCACACAGCTGTGAGTGGTGAAATCAGATGGCAAATCCAGGCTGTCTTGCCCCAAAGAGGAGATCGAGTGAATGCAGATACTCAAGCTCCGCATCACCAAGAAGCTGGTTCTGCGCTAGTAAGAGGACAGTTATAGCAGGACACGGTAGTATATTGTGGAGACCATCTAAATGAAGAAGAACTTGCACACCTTTCAGGCACTTCTTATATCAAACATCCTTGCTTTCTGTTGCCTTTACTTTAATTGGACTCTTACTCACCGTCACCTGGAAATCTCTCCTTTCGCACAATAGCCACCAGCCACATGAGACTATTGAGCACTTGAAATGAGACTTGTCCAAAAGGAGATGTACTGTAAGTAGGAAATACACACTCAATTTCAAAGACCTGGTATGAAAAAAAAAGATATAAAGTATCTCAATAATTTTCAGAACATTTAGTGCATGTTAACTGAAAATGTCTGGAACTTAATCTCACTTGTTTTTTTTTTAGCGTGACATTTAGGATATCTAACGTTGTATGTGACCCGCACTATATTTCTACTGGACAGGGCCACCCTAGATGGTCTCATTTTGTGCTTCTGCCTTTTCAATTCTGGAAACTTGATGATAGGTTTGCCCTCCGGGGGCTTCACTTCGGTCATTTGAGGCTTTAAAAGTCAGTACTGAGCCGCTAAACTTATTGTACGTGGTTTATTTATTTAAGTGAGGCCTGTTCATACCCATGAAAGGAGGTGATGAGGAAAATATTTTCTTTTGTCTGCTTAGCACCTGATGGCTCTGAAATTAAATCTCCCTGACAAGAACACGGCAGCTGCTCTGCTCTGTGACCCCGTGATTGATCTTTCCTTTTAAACCGGGATGTGTGCAGACGGAGCTGGTGGGAAAAGCGTCCTTCACTCTTCTGCCCAGGGGTCAGTTCTGGAATTCCAAGTGGCCTTTGCAATGTTTAGGAAACAGTGCAGACTGTTCACTGACCCCTGCATCTGCTGGAGAACCCGAAGCCTGTTATGCTGCTGTTGGCAGCAACTGTGGCTGACTTGTCTCTCAACTGTCACGACCCCAGGAAAAGGTCACGGTCTCAATTCCTAAGGAACTTGGGACAGCCAAGGGGAGGCAGACTTTATGATCTACGAGGAAATGACGAAGACTGAGTAATCCAGAGCCAGACTGTGCGGCTCAGCCTCTAACATCAAAACCAAGCCAGGAAAGGGAGTGAGAAGGCTGTGGGCTTGGAGGACCAGGGTTTTAGGTGGTTCTAAGGTGTGGGTGTAGGTCGAGGAAGAAATGAGCACCACGTGGCCAGGGCATGAATCCGGGAGGTGTGGGGTAGCCCCTGGGGATTAGTCACAGGTCATTGGAAGTGAGGTGGGGGCAGGGATAGATGCTAGGTGCCTAGAGCCTGGGTCTGATTCTGCGGTCGGCCACAGCGTGTCCTTGAACAGGGGTGAGACGGAGCTGGACGATGAAAACCCAGGCTGACTGCCCACCGCACCACCAGAGACGTTCTCATCTTCTGTTTGCCTAAGAGTGGACGTTGGCACATCGGCACAGCATTAAACTACTTAATGAACCATCATGTCGTGCTTACACTGTTGCACTTTATTTTTAAATAAATACAGAATTCTAAAATAAATAATTACCTTATGGCAAGAAAACGATTTCCCACTTACAGTACTCAATTTAAAGAAACATGTTAAGTTAGCAGTACTGTAATAGGCAGGTGGATATAGTAAAATCCTAAAGGTTTTCCCGTGGCACATTAGATGGGTGACCGAGGCCCAGAGGCCGAGTCTTCGCAGGGCAGATGTCCCAGGCAGAGGCAGATGTCCCAGGCAGAGGCGCGCAGGGTGGGTCGGAGGGCGGAGCGAACCGTGGCGAGGAGGCCAGTTAGCCACCTTTCGGGAGTGAGAATGGAGAGGAAACACGAGAGCCATTGGCTGGGCCATTGTTCAGGCGGCTGTTGCATGTGTCTGCCTGGGTTCACCTGTGATGCCCGTTTTGGCTACAGACTCCTGGTGCGTGGCCATGGTTCTGAATATGGGGAGGTACCAAGAGATAACTCATGACTGAATGCGGACATTTACTGGTGCTGCCGGGACCACACCCTATATATTGAGTCCTTGAATTACCTCTTTCATTCCTCACAATAACCCCATAAACTATCTGCCATCATTCCCTGCTCTTTTACAGATGAGGGGACCGAGTCTCTGAGAGGTTAAGTAATTTGCCAAAAGTCACACAGCTGGGACTCAAATCCAAGTCTGCCTGACGGCAAGGCCTTAGCCACCACACATGCTGCCTCGTCGTTGATTGGCACTAATGACATTTTACAGCACGTTCTGCTGTTTCTCACATTTTCCCCTCGTTTCACCTAGAACATGGGTTTCTATGACCCAGCTTGGGATTTGATTCATCTCTCAGCACCAGAGACAACAGAAATCCCTCAGCCCATAAACCCCGTTCCTCACCTCTGTGCAGCATATTCATAGATCTTAGTCTATGGTTTATATCTTCATGAAAGTGGCTCTACTTGGCCCTTTAAGAAGCTCATTAATCACTAAATATAGACCACAACTCGTTCTCTGGAACCCTCTGCATGTTGCTTCCCCCCATTGTGTGATGCCATCTGGCGCTATGAGATCATGCTTTTTGTGTTCCTTTGCAGAGTCAGATTCACTGCTCTCTAAACCCGGAAAGCCAGTCAATTTCAAAGTTTGCAAGCATGGCTTTGAAAACATTTGAATCTAATGCCTCCTTGTGGATTTTCACAGTATCACTCTTTACCGTAACATTGCATGGGACTTCGGTCTTGACCGTCATCGATGTGCCTACGTCTACTCGTCTTTTTACCAAAAAGACCCGATTTGTCTTTGGAGAGCCATCAGGAGACTACAGGTCTCTTCCTGTGTGATTTGTGTGAGGTTTCAATGTGTCACCTGCACGTGTAGGACGCCAGATCTTGATAATACACTTTCCTCTTCTAACAGACTTTCTGCCGCGGCGGTGGAACGGGGGCGTGCGAACAAGGAGATACAACAGCGAACGCAGGCCTCTCACCTGCTGCTGATCTGTCCTCCACTCTCACTTTCTCTTCTAATTCTGCCCGAAGTCTCCAGTCATCAACAAGGGAGTGGAGCAGCAGGGTTGTAGGCCATTTTCTTGCAGACACAGCTCAGGAGCTCTGGGCTTACCACCAAACTCCCAGGCTTCGGGATCTCGGAGGATTGCTGGTTCCGCTGTCCAGGGCAGACCTTGTCACTCTCCCTACCTCCCTTCTCTCCTCACTTCAGGGGCCCTGCAGTTTACATTTAGCCTGGGAGCCTGGTGGGAAGGAGAGGTAATTTGGTGATATGTGTACTGTTCACTTCATTCCTGGCACCAGCCGGACTCCCCTGGGGAGGGGGAGAGCACTGGGCAGCCTGCTGCCCTCCCCTCTGCTACTCCCCCTGCCCACTGGAGTCCTGCCTGTTCCCAGCAAGGGGCAGAGGAGGAGATGGCCCTGGGGATGTTTGCAGTCATGTAGAGGGGCCCACACATTTCCCTACCCAGGAGTTCTTCCAGGGACAGCCCGGCCCCTCTGAGTCTAAGAGAACAGTTTCTCCCCAGTCCACACTCCATCTCCAGCATCAAGCATTATACTTACTGAAATTTCACAGATGAGAGATTTATTTGCATCAATAAGATTTTTTTAAAAAAAAACAAAAACAGCTGCCAGGATTAAAGGATTAACATTCACTCACTTAAAATTAATCTAATCAGATTGCATTTACTCAAACAACTGACCAAGATGATTTACAATGAAAGAAGGAAGTTTTATTGTGTTTAATATGAAGGGAGGGTAGATAATTTTATGGGATTCAAAAGACTTTAGGGCACTAATAGGCCTGTATCAATTTATGGAGTAAAAGTATGGGTTGGGAGGGAAGATAGGAGAAGGTACTAGATAAAGCAATGGGTACACTTACCCATTTCAAAATATTGTGCCTAGGGCTGGCCAGGCAACCAGGGGAGGGAGGGGATTTTTCAATACCACCCTTTCTGATAGGACCCAGAATTCAGGTTAGTGAAATTTGGATTAAGGAATTACAGCCGGCCTGGGGTTAAATAGGCTCTTGGGGGTTGTTTGGAGACCTAATCACCGCCTCAACCAGCATGTAGAAGGTTGTCTTTATGGAAAAATGTCTTCTGGTTTCCAAATAACACACTTCCTAATGAAGTTTTTGATGCAACCCATTTGAGAGTTAGAGATTGGATCAGATTCAGACCCATGTAATTTATCTGTGTTAACTTAATATTTCAAGCTGATTTCTCCCAACCATCTGTATACTTCCAGGCCACTGGTCCTTGAGGAGTTTTGCACTTAGTTAATACAAACTCCATGTTGCAACACGATCAGGGGAGTTTAGATCCTTATCAAATTTAGTACATTCAAGAATGAAATGCGATTTTAAAAATTATTTCATGTTTTAGGTTTTCACTGTTTTGCTGGCCTTTATTAGTGAGAATAATTAAGAGAGTCCTACCCCCTCTTCCATCCCACCCAGTTTGGGGCATATACTGGGCCTCGGGTCTCAGAGTTCCAGTGCAGATGCAGACTCCTAAACGACGTGTCTTCTTCCTTCAAGGTATTGCGCAGCGGTGCACAGCTATCAAGTACCACTTTTCCCAGCCAATCCGCTTACGGAACATTCCTTTCAATTTAACCAAGACAATACAGCAAGATGAATGGCACCTGCTCCGTGAGTATTTCTGGGAGAGGGTCCGAGAGGAAATGGTGTCTGTCTGAACAAAAGGCATTCCCACTAGCCTTGGCAGGTCTGGACTGAAAGATGCTGTGATGATCGACCACAGGCCTCCAGGCCCCATGTGGTCGGAGACTCAGAGAGTCATTTCACTGGGCCATCGTCGTCACAACTCGTTGACATGCTGACTGTGTGAAAACCAGGCACGAGTCTCTGTGAGCGCGTGCAGTGTGCGGGTCTGCCTCGGTGGCTTCCTGAGTCTGTCTTCAGCCAGTCATCGGGTACAACGACCCGCGGGTGGAAGGACGCGCTCTGCCACTTAGTAAACCAAGGTGTCACACCCGAGGCACGCCTATTTTTGTTTTGTTTATACAATAGTCAGTTTAGCTACTGTGTCTATCTCAGACCTTTTCTGCTAAAATCTTTTTATGACTGTATGTCATAATTTCTCAGAGGGCGTCTGGTACCTCTAACGTTCTGACAGCAGATGCTACCCTTTTCCATTGTCAGGAAAATGTTAAGAAGGATCACGCAGTGTGATGTTTAAGAGAACTGATGTTTACTTGAAAACTGTTGATTTATGCTGCCTGGTGTTAGAAAACTCAGGAAAGCAAAAACTAGACTGAATTATTTCAGTGTTTACCCTAATCAGAGGTTGACATTGTCATTTTCCAATGAAATAAGCAACAGAGACTTCGGTGATCTCGTTTGGTGAGCAAAACTACTGCAGAAAACCAAGCAGGGTCTCCTTTTCGAAATAAGTCAAGGCTATGTTTTGAATCTCAAACGCGTAAATGGAAGGTCTGTTGCAGTAGCTTAATATGTAAATATTATGATTGGCATATTTAGGACTGGGAAAGTCATTGGCTAAAATGTGGTTTATTTCTGCCCTGGCCAATTTGGCTCAGCGGTTGGAGTGTTGGCCTGCGGACCAGAGAGTCCTGGGTTCGGTTCCTGCTAGGGGCATGTCCCAAAAAAAAAAAAAAATGTGGTTTATTTCTTAATAGTATGACTTCCTGAAGGTTCTTTCTTGCTGGCCGATTTTAACGACCATCTCTTAGCAGATCTGAGTTCGAGTCTACCTAAGCCTTCTTCTGCCGTAATTCTTTAGGAGCACGTTGGGAATTCTTGAATCATCTGTCTGGAAAGCCATGTACTCACTGGTGTTAGATAAAACAAAAAAAGGCCATCACAGGATCCTGACAGAGAACCTCTTCTCTTTACTCTAACAGTTTGTCCTCTGTTTTTGCCCAGCAAGACAGTATTTGAGCGTTTCCTCTTAATCCTTTTTGAGGTTCTCATAGCGAGATGATTTTAGCAGTCTCATGCATGGCTCTTTCTAAGAAAATCACACGTAGTGATCTGTACCTTGTTTACTTGAGACCTGGTACTAATGTGAATTCCACGTGGATGATAGCTGAACCTTATGCCTTTGAATGGTCCTAGAAAATAAAACTTGAACCACAGGGAATTTAGGAGGTTGGAAGATAATAGTGGCTGAACTATTATTACATTTCTCTGCTCAGATGTCTTAAAACGTTTACCCTAAACATTACACTCAGCCCCTTAAAATGATCACTGCTCCTGGCCCCTCGCTCTGTGGTGTCTACACTTCTTTAGGCAGAAATGTCCTGCTTTAACTTAGATGCTCTGAGTTGGAAATGAATATTTTTCTTAAAGAGAAAGGGGCGGCTTATCCATGTGGGCCTAGGACTGGAAGGCCCCATGAACACCCCCTGTGGAGCACCCTGAGACGGCCAGTAGCCACGCGAACAGACCGAGCTGGTGGCTGCCCGGACACTGCCATCTTGGTCAAGCAGCCCACACATCAAGCAGTGGGGGTGCCCCTTGCCTTGACTCCATGTGTGCAAAGGTGTGCCCACACCTGCTGACTGGCCCCAACGGCTGCAGACCTACCTTTGGGACTTTTTTTTTTTTTTTTCAAAGAGGGGACATAGAAAGTTAGCTAACAATGTCAAAACTGGCTTTAGAAATGTTATTTATTGATTTTTTTTTTTTTTTTTAGAGAGAAAGAGAGGAAGAGGGAGAGAGATAGAAACATCAGTGTGAGAGAGAAACATCAATCGGCTGCTTCCTGCATGCTCCCTACTGGGGATCAAGCCCACAACTGGGGCATGTGCCCTGACTGGGAATCAAACCGGGACCTCTCAGGCTGTGGGACGATGCTCAATCCACTGAGCCACACCGGCCAGGCGGCTTTTTTAAAACTAAAAAGGAAGGACAATCAGTGCTGCTTTAGGGTGGAAGGGGGCCCAGGTACATGCCGTCAGTCCATCCCTTGTTTTTGCCCAGGAGACGGGGGAGGGGCTGTGTTTTTGTGATAGACCAAACCTGACCATTGCGTATACAGAGGGAATAGTCCCTCCTTAACCCGGGTCAGTGGGTGCTTGGGTTGTGCGGCCTATGTGTAAGGGGAGAGGGCGGTCAGGAGCAGATGTCTCATAAGTGCACTTTGGGCCCTGTTTCAGTCACCACAATTGCCTTCACTTTCTGAAATCCTTTTTGACAATAGGCAGGAATAGATACAATGAAAAAGAAAATAACTGGCATCCATGGTGCGCAGATGAAACCGTATTTCGCTATAGCTCACTTTTAAGGCTCTTTCTCCAAAGTCAGATTAACGGCAGCCACTGCAGTGGTGGTCACCTTCGCTTCTGTGGCTCTTTTAAAGATAAAGATAGTTTGCAAACCTAAGTTGCTCTCGGTTTACTAAGTAACTTGCTATCCAAGGTGACCCTGACGCTGTCCTCTGGTCTGTTCCCTTCTTGGTGTGGGCCTCTCCATGGACCCACAGGGGCCCAGGTACATGCTGCCTGACCGCTCGGTTGGTGACACCCCATCTGTCCTCTTAGGAAATACCGGAGAATAGAACGCCCTAAGCCTGTCCATGTAACTTAGTAATTTTCATAACATATTCAAAGCTCTTCATTCTCCAATTTTCAAGGGCTCTCCTTCTGCTTATTACGTTGGATGTCTATTTGTGTTTTGAGATTAGATTTGAGAAGAATCACTGCCGGCTTCCTGGGCATGGCCGTGGCCGTCCTGCTCTGTGGCTGCATCGTGGCCACGGTCAGTTTCTTCTGGGAGGAAAGCCTGACCCAGCACGTGGCTGGCCTCCTTTTCCTCATGACAGGTACGTGAACCCCGCAGGTGCCTCTCCCGGCAAAAGTGAAGGCTGCTCTGTGAGCAGCTGGCTTCACTTCGTTCTCTCCCCATTTCTTTTGTGTTCAGGTGTGAGAAAAGAGACCCAGAAGGTCATTAGGCTTTGGTGGGTGGTACAGCATTTGAAGAAACGACAGTGTTCAAAATGCATCCCCAGTATCTTCACGGGGGCCCGCTAGGAGGTTAGATGGAAATATCTTGGGTTCTATCTCCATTTGGAGTCAGCTCTGATTTTTCTTTCCCAGTTTTGCATACTGTACCCCAACCCTGGCCCGGACTGTTGGCAAACAAGGAGCCCCAAGGAGTGAGAGGGACATCGATCAGCACAGCCCATCCCCCCAGGCTGAAAGTCAACTCCAAGTACATCCTGTGGTGACAGTGTCATCGGGGTCATGTTTCCACACACAACATTCATTCACCTCACTCCACAGATGGTTTTGAGGACCCACACACTGCCCTAGGTGCGAGAAACACACCATGAACTAGGCAGACAAAATCCTCCTCCGTTTTTGCTGTGGGGAGACAACTACTTGTGAGAGTGATGAAAGCTACGAGGAAAATGAACAGGGTGGAACAGGGGACCCGGGGAAGGCCTTGCCCGCAGCCAGTGTTGAGTGGGCTGCGCTGAGGGCCAAGCCCGCAGGCAGGGAGGGGCTGGTCCATTCTGCGCCACAGAAAGAAGACGGGTGTGGCTGGGGGCAGGGAGGGGGGAGGGTATCACATGAGAAGCAGGCAGTGGCTTGGATTATAATCTGCGGGTGATGGAAGCCACCAGAAGGCTTTAAACACAGGGCTGACTGGATCTTAAAGCAGGAGATTGGAGGGAGGGGCTGGAGACATGACTAGGGCCTTTCTGATTAGCAGGTGAAGGACATCTTTGTCTAAGAAGGAGTCAGGAGCTGAGCTGGTGGCTAACACTGACTGCAGGGAAGAAATCTTTCCTTCTGTTCCTTCACAGAAAAATGAATGTATTCATGATTAGTGAATGCCAAATGAACAGTTTCATGAAGTATGCTCAGTAGCTATGTAGCCGTTTCGAATAAGCTTATTTCTACTAACCTGGAGTTCTGTTACCCAAGTGACCACGGCTGGGTTTTCTAGCATTTCTCACTGCAAGGGTCTCTGAAGCCTTGTTCACGGGGGCAGCAGCGCCCCCCTGTGGCTGACACCAGTATCTGTTTGCCTTGCAGAGCTGACAGGTAGGTGGTGCTTTGCTTTCCTGCTCAACCAATCAGCCTAAGGAACGCCCATCTGCCCCACTTCCCACCTGGCAGTAATTCGGGTCATCATGGTCAAGGTCCCGACAAAGCGTTCAGAAGCCACATGGCCTCTGAATAGTCGTGAGCAGAAAACCAACTTAGGTTTCCCAGATGTTGGTGAATACACAGCGGCTGCCAGGACCATGGCGCCGGGAGGCTGAATTCGAGTTCCTGAGGTTTGGGAGGAGGATTTGAACCCTCAAGACCAATCATGGGGTGCCTGCCTACGGGATTCATTTCAAATCCAGACTGTAGAATAGCTGGGCTAGAACAGCGAATAATTAGAGGCCCGTGCTGCCCAGAGGGTTCCTTTATGCCTCTGCTGGGGCTCAGCGGTAGTTAAACATCCTCCCCATTTTCTTCCCTCCCCTCATTAGTTGAGCCCCCATTTTCCTGACGCTTGTCCCCGTATACCTGAGAGAAATGCAAATTCACTCCCCACAACCCCAAACCCGGGGAAGGCCCACATCACATCTGCTGGTCAGGAAAATGAGAAGCTGTGGACAACAAAAGCCTCAGTAGTAGTCAGGCGTACCTCGTTTTATTGCCCTCCACTTTATTGCGCTTCACAGATGTTGCTTTCCTTACAACTCGAAGGCAAGACCCTCCACCAGCAAGAAGATTACGACTCGCTTTATTGTGACACTCACTTTATTGTAACACTCGCTTCACTGTGACACTCACTTTATTGCAGTGGTCTGGCACTAATCCGCAATATCTCCGAGGCACACCAGCAGTTTTTAAAGGACATTTTTAATATGGGTAATACATGAATAATTTAGGATGCGCTTAGCATATAAAACAACTGTTAGCAATAAAATAAATTTCAGGGCCATAAAAGCCAGGCCTAATGAATTTTCCTTGGGAGGCTGAGGGGCTGGTTTGGCATTAAATGAAGGAAGGGTAGGAGTTCAGCATTGGGTTGACTCGGAGGAGAGCCAGGGGCCAAGGGTCCTGAGCGGTTCACCTTGCCCGGCTCAGCCTTATTTCCAATCCACATGTGGGCTGCAACTTGAGGCCAGACTAGCTCAGGGGTCCTCAGGCTTTGTCATCAAAAGCTCCTATGCAATTGTTAAACACAAAACAATATCCTCAATAATAAAAACCCATAACAACCAAAAAAAATGCAAATAAAACCAAACTTACACACTTGAGATTGATGACCAGTCCTGAAGGACCGAGACAGCCAACATTGTTTTCCTTCTGGTGCTTTGGTTGCCCAAACAACATTTTTGGAATAAAGGAAGACTTCACTTATAGATCCCACCACCTGAAAAATTAGGTTGTTTAATTATTTTTCTTGACCATGTGTTTGCCTCATTCAAAAAAAAGAGAGAAAAAGAAAAGTGTCGCTACATTGTTCTTGACATGAGTTTTTAATAGCTGCATGTTCTTCAAAGGAGTGGGTATGCTGGATTGTATTCATCTGTCCCCTTACTGTGGAATTTAAGGAGGATTGTTTTATTTTTCTACTACAATGCCTCTTCATCGCCTTTGTAAACACGAGAAACTGCGTCAATCCACTGCAGGAGATAAATGGCTGTAGGAGGTTCACATGCAGTAGCAGGCGAGGAGAGCCATCAGGGTTAAAAGAAAGAATTGATTTTAATTAAGCTGAAGTGTCTCCAGCAGCCCTCGTCAGCATCACTCCCACAGATTTTTGATGCTAAACTTAGCCCCTTCTAATGTGCTGGCATCTTCATTTTCCACCTGAACCTATTAGCCAAACCTTCACTGAGGAACATCAGCGATGTGACAGTTCGGGATCTTCTCCTTCTGCCTTACTGCGTACAGACAGTTCGTGATTACCCACAAGCGGAGCCGCAGTGCTGCCGCCTGTCAGTTCTCATCGGGGAGCCAGGTTCTCGCCTCTTTCCTGCCCCCTCCTTTCTGGGGCCTCCCAAGGGGTCTCCAGAAGGACCAGGGCCAGGCCACATCCCCCAAGGGCTTCCAATGTAGCCCTGTGACTTCATGTCCTCCGAGGTTATCCCTGCGGTCACAGAGGCATCAGAGGACGGAGGGAGTAAGACACGTACCTTCCAGCTGTAAACTGCTGCCCATTCCTAGAACACACCGCTTGTAGGCCACTGTGAATGACTACTTCCATCAACATTAAATGATGCGTCCCATTAGATAGTCATCTAATTACCATAATAGTTTGTTATAAATATTTTAAAGGCTTAATTTGTTTTTTTTTGTTTTTTGTTTTTTTTTTTATCCTCACCCGAGGACATTTTTCCAATTTTTGTACAGATAGAGTGGGAGGGAGAGAGAGGTGGGGAGAGAGGGAGAGAGAGAGAAACATCGACGTGAAAGGGACACATCGAGTGGCTGCCACCCGCACGACCAACCAGGGCCGGGGACAAACTGCAACCGAGGTACGTGCCCTTAGCGGGAACCGAACCCGGGTCTCTCCGGACCGCAGGCCAACGCTCTAACCGCTGAGCCAAACCGGCCAGGGCGCTTAATTTGTTCAATACCAAAAAATTTAAGTTTTTTTCAATTACAGTTTATATTTAGTATTATTTTGTATTAGTTTCAGGTGTACAGCATAGTGGTTAGACAATCATACACTTTGCAAAGTGTTCCTCCCGATATTCCCAGTACCCACCTGGCACCATACACAGTTTTTACAATATTAGTGACTATATTCCCTATGCTGTACTTTACATCCCCATGACTATTTTCTAAGTACCAATTTGTACTTCTCAATCCCTTCACCTCTTTCACCCAGCTCCCCAATCCCCCGCCCCTTTGGGAACATCAGCCTCTTCTCTGCATCTATGAGTCTGTTTCAATTTCAGTGCCAACATTTTTAAATACAATTTTTGTGTCTTGTGGGGTTTTTATTATCTTTTAATATACTGGGAATTTCAAAAGTTGGATAAAGCTTGGTCCTCCCTTGAGGGGGTCTCACTGCCCACTGGGCCCATTCACCGGCACAGGCTGTGCCCTGATGGCCACTGCAGACAGCGACGGCAGACAGGGCAGAGACAGAGCCCAGGCCGCCCCAGCAAAGCTCAGGAACAGGTCACACCTCAGTTAGGCTAGTCACTGCTTTGCTTGAATGCATTTATAGATATAAATTTTAATATATATTTTAAGACTAATGCATTCAAATGAAAAAATAAAGATTTGGCTACAGTAGCCAAATTGAACAATCTAGGTTATCCAGTGATTATGACTTAAAACTACAGGTCCTTAATGCCCTATCTGAAACCCTTGAAGCCAGGTATATTTTAGAATCATGGTGTTCAAGTTTTCTTTTAGAAAGATAACATGGCGCATACATTATCTAATACCTTGAGCAAGGTCTGTAATCAAATACATTAACATGTCTACAGCAAAACATTCTAAGCTGGATCGATAAGGACTATAAATAGCCTTATGCCCCATCAGGTCAGGCTTTGCCTTTAAATGAGAGAGCTGCAATCTTTCAGGAAGAGTGGATGTCTCGAGGATTTAATAAAAGCAGATTGTGGATCTTTTATTTACTTTTACTTGTTGTAAAGCTCTGTCTGTCTCTATTACTCCTGCCCAGTCATTCAATCTGTGTGAAAAGTAGCATGAGGCATTTTTTTCTGGAATTGCAAAGAGACCGGAATGATGGGCAGGTCATCCCCTGAAAGAGTGGAAAATAAAAGTAAATGTTTATGCCTTTGGGCATTGCAGTTATGTTATTTATCAAGCAGGCTAACCAGGGTGAAGTAAC